TTTTTTTTTTTTTGGAATAAACTTTTTGAAAAATAAAAAAAAAAGTATGTAATAAATTTGCCGAAAATGCAAAAGATTGAACTGAAAGATATAATTGGACTTGTATTTTTTCAAACTTTTTACAGTTTGCTTAGTAGGACTTCTTTTAAAGATATAACTGACAATCGTTACAGTCAACAGATATTATAGGCTTCCGATGATTTTTTGTGACTCAGAAAGCATTTCATTGTCTGAAAATCGATGGTATTAAGTTGGCTGTGGAAATTTTTGAATCGGTTACAAAGGATTTTTTTTAAAGAATAAATTTTGATAGAAATTTATGAAAATTCTGCGAATCTTTGATGGATACGTGGTTGGCAAAAAACAATTTGCTGGAACCATAGAAGGAAGAACATTATAAAATTTCTTTCACTGATCAACTGAATTCTGAATGCAGTTAGTTTTCTAATTAGAAGCTGGACGAATCTACAGCAAATATTGTTGTATAATAAAAGCATCGTTTTTTTTTTTTTTTTTCGGTTCGTTTTTCTCTTTTTCTGATGGTAAGGTTTCAAGATGAATCAGGCTCTTTGGAAAGAGGAGGAGGGGGCCAGAATTGTTGCCAAACAGTTATATGATGGGATACGTATTTCGATGTTCAAATGATTGAGTTATTTAGATACTTTTTTAATTCGTTTAATCAGTAATCTGATAGAAGTTAGTTTAAATTTTTTTCTAAAAAATTTGAACCAGAATTATTGTTTTTGGTTTTTGTTTCCGGAGATGTTTTGTGCATTTGTCAACGGGTGCTGGCATTCAGCAGCAGCAGCAGCATCGACAGCAGTAACAATAGACTGACTAATTGGCTACATTATATTTTATAATGCATCACGCAATGAATGATTTCAACAGTTTTACCGTCAAATAGATTTATATTTTTATGCTCAAAGTATTGGGAAAAAGCTTAATGTTCACATAGATATATTTATGCTGCAAATGCAGTAAAAAGTAAGCTTGGATTAATGATGGGTAGAAAAAGTAGGATTGCAAGAGATAAAAAAAGAAGGAACGCTGCAGAAAGGAAGTTTATTTGGAATAATTATACACCTTAGATGGTCATTAAAAGTTTGAGAATGGAAAATATGTAAAATAAAGTATGCTGATGCGAATATGACAAGAAAAGTGCTTTAACAACAGAATAATTATAGTAATTAATATTAATAGTGTAATGTTGTACTTAACAAAAAAAATTTGAAAAAAAAAAAAAAACGATTTTTTAGGTTTGGTTTTATGCTTGTTTTTTTTTTAAGCTTTAACCAACAAAGATTTATTGTTTATTTTGTTTTTCCTTCTTTTTTAAATCTTTTAATCAATACGTTTATTGAATGGACTATTGTTATTTGAATGACCTGATTTTATAGGGCGAAAAGTACCAGAAGGTGAGCTATGTGCCGTTTGTTCGGATTTGGCCACAGGTTACCATTACGGTGTGGCAAGTTGCAATGGCTGGTAAGGCTTATTATTCCTGTTATTTCAGATTACATTTACATATAAAATTGTCTATTGATTTCGAAGGGATTGCATAATTTTTTTTCTTTCGGCTAGTTTAAGTCTAATTTATTATTTCTTCTCTTGTTTACTGACTTCTATGTCTACATCTTTAAAATATCCGTAAGTTGGTGCCTGTATCATCTAGTGCTAAGTGCTATCCAATATAGAAGCTTCGAGGGAATAAGTTTTATTATTTTCACTCTTGTTCATTCATTCAAAAAATGTTAAATTTGTTTGAAGGAAATTTTCAATAGTTTTATGTTCAGTTTACAGTAGCAATGGTTCAAAAAAACAAAAATGTTATCTGATTTTATTGTCAAAAAGCCACTTAGTTATAAGATTTTTTTGTTTAACCTTTTTTTTTCAATATTTTGGTTTGTTAAAAAAAAAAGAAAAGAACAATTGAAATTTATTCAAAAGGCAATATTTCAAGTTTTTTCTTCGATTCGTACAGTATAAAAACTGTTAATAGTTGAAGAAAGAAACAAAGAAACAAAACAGATGGAATTGCAAACGTGAAGCGGAGCATCAGCAAATTTAGTTGTTTTGAGTGAATTGCTTATCAATGTGTAAAAAATTGAACGTCTCTTATGAACGCCATTGTTGTTTTCATCAGTTTCATTTCATTTTCTTTTATCATTATTTTCAATTTTTTTGCATTAGCTCTATTGAAGTAGAAAGAAAGCTTAATTTTTGTTTGTTTGAATATTTGAAATTAATGGTAACTAAGCTCTCAACATAAATCTGATATCGACAGATTTAAAGACTGAGAGTTGTTTTTTGCCGGAATGCAACTTGCAGTATCACAGCTAACTTTGATTCTCCTAGAATTTTTTTATCCACAGAAAATTATTTAAAGAAAAAGAAAATGAAATTTTGCAACCTAAAATTTTTAATTTTTTATTTTAAAACATTTAGGTTCTATTGGGAGGACAAAGGAAACAGAGAGTTTTTTTGATCTGAAAAGTAAAAAAGGCTATTTATATTTTTGTTATTTTGCTACCTCACTTTCTTCCTAGCGAAAAAAAGCAGAATTTAACTTTTATTTGAGCTGTGCAACTGTTGACAATCTAATTTTTTCAGCAAAACTTTCTTTCGTCGCACAATTGTCTCTGAACATACGTTCGTTTGCCAGTATGATGGGAATTGTGATGTGAACAAAAGTATGTACCATTTCTTTTTATTTCATTCTCCACTTTTCAGATATGGATTTCTGATTTCTGAAAGCAAAAAAGTGATGTTATATTGCTATCCGTTTTTTATTTTTCTTTCTGAATTATTCACTTTATTACAATTTAATTTGTTTTTGTCTAGATATTCGCTGCGCATGCCGTCACTGTCGGTTCAAAAAGTGTGTTGCTGTTGGGATGGATTCAAAAGGTTTTGCTTTTTCTTTTTTCAGCGTTATTGTAGGCTGACGTTATTTATGACTTATTCCTTCTTTTTAAAATATTGCTGACCACTTCATTGTTTTGCACTGTCAGATCCTTCGCACTGAGTATTACTGCTTGCTCGAGCTAAAAAATCTTGGTTTTTTGAGCCTTTAGTGGGCTTAAGCATTGATTTTCTTGCCCTTTCTATGATTTCTGGTAGAATTTTTTCAGATTACATTGTTTTAATTGCTGATTAGAAGTTAGACACTTTTAACAATTAAATTTTTTAATTGCCTAATAAATGATTAAATGAGGTCTCTACCCTAGGTGAAAGTGAGTTATGTGAGTTTTTATAACTTTTTAAAATAAATATAGGCACAAATATAGGTATAATGTGAAAAGGCGTCTTTGGCTCTTGCAAATAGAGTTTCCGGAACTGTGCTGAAAAAAATGGAGTGTTATAATTTAGTTTATACTGAACTTTATTAGATACTCTACGCATGACTCAACCCTCACCAGGTTTGCTGCTCGAGAAGGGGTTTTGCTGTTTCACAGCTCTCTCAACGTGCCTCTCTCATGAGCATTCGGAAACAGTGTGTTTAATGTCACCGTTTTAACACAGTTTTAATCATGAAGAAAATTCAAGGATTTCTAAAAAAACTATAATTGTCAGTGAGGCGGTTGAAATTGGTATATAAACCAAGACATTTAAATAGGTTGGACGAAAGAGTGGAAATTATTTGGGTAGCTTGCTTTCTAAAACGCTGGGCTGTAAGAAGTGTTTATAATTCACGTCACATAACGTAGGAAACAAAAGCATTATCTCTTAGCAGATGGTTCAAGTACAATCTGTTTTTCACTGATATCTTGTATAGTTCGTGCGATTATGTACAACGAAGTTCAAAATCAACAATGTGGTTTGAGGTTTTTTAAGTAAAAAATTAGTCTCAGGCGATATCTGATAAATGCATCTTGTTACGGCAGTACTGTAAAGGCATTTGATCAGGGGAAATGTACTGCACTACAGGTATTGTTCGCTGTTTTCTAGTTAAGTATTACTTTGTTTTGAAAGACCGGTTATTTCACACAATCAGCGCTTTGCGGATGATGGGTCGCAGTCAAAGTCGCTCTTTGGGATATGCAATTAATTCTCATCCTTGAAATTTTTAAGTTTTCTGGTTACTGTCTTCTTTATCACAGATTTCAAGTAAGAGGCCGCAAAATGTACTTCTAGTTCTTTTTTATTGAAATGTTAGAATTAGTTGTTATATTTCGCCATTATCTTGTAGTTCCTCACACTAATGGTTATATGACGTCGTCGAAAGACATATTTAAAGAATGACTTTTCTCTTAAGACTTTTAAGTAGCAAAGCTCCTAGCACAGTCCTTTTCTGAACTCTTTGGTGTTCATTAGATAGCTATTGCCTACATCATAACCGTGATAAAAAAGCGCAGAAAGGTCATAGGTTTTACAACAATATAGAGCTGCTGGTAGGCAAAAGAGGTGTATTTCGGTGTTTCATGTACAGCAAAAGAGGTTAGGGCGCTATTCAGTGGAATTGACCAGCATTCTATTCGAGTTGAGCTATATATAACTAACTGGTTGCGCTGTTTATTTTAGATTTCATTTGCTACAGCATAGAGTATTTCATTCATTTTCCAGTTGATAAAATTGGTGTTATTTTAACTTAATACTAGTGTTACAGTTCATATGATGAACTGATTTTTTCCAGCAATACAGAACGACCGTGACCGTATTGGTCCGACAAAAAAGATGAAGTTAAGTAGCCAAAGCTCTGATGATGACGGTACTGTACAGCTACAACATTCTGAAGAAGAGCAAGTGAGTTTATATTTGTAATATTCAAATTAAAATGATTTTTTTATTTTGTCAAAAGTTATTGTAAAGAAATTGCTGTTTTCTTCATAGCCTTAGTCATTGAATTTTCAGCTAATTTCCAAGTTGAGCGAGATCGAGGATCGTTGCTTACGTTTGCGTAAGTGCGTGCTTCCAGATGTTAAGGGCTTGGATGATGTTTTTGATTCCCCATCGTTGGTCTACGATGTTGACAACCTCCCAACTGATGTGAATAAATGATATTTTTACTGTTATTGTTTTTTTGAGTCATAAAAACCCCACTGCTTTTTCACGAACGTGTAACTTTTTCTTCGGCAGCATTTTTTGGGGAGTAACTACAAAAATATGATTACCTAGGCGTACGGTTTGCTTCGGGTTTGTTTATGTTTATTTGCGTCACGGTCGTCCAATAAGTTTTACTCAAAAAAGGCATGAAAATAGCCTTTTTAACTTTCTTATAGTCGCTGCTGACTGTTTTCGAAAACTCATAATCAGGATTTTTTATATATCTTACAGTGAAACGGCATGTTTACACTGCAGTTTTTTACCTAATTCATTTCATTCCAGCCTTATTCTCAGCCGAAAGAGCTCTACATAGCCAATATGACAGACATTCAGCGTTTTAACAAACGTGAAGTTAGAGTCGGCTTAGAATGGGCAAAAACTTTTGAGTGTTACAATTCACTGTCACGCGATGATAGGGTTTGTTCTATGCTTTTATTTTATTGGGACCAAGTTATGTAGGTACTTTTTCTTTTTAATTTTTTTTATCCTTTTTCATTGTGGTCAATAATTGTTGCAGTCTCCTTGTAACTTGTCATTTAAAGGAGCCTAAACAATTATTTCAGGAAAATTTTTAGTTGCTGAGATTTCAGTCTAAAGTCTTGATCAAATCAATTTTATTCAGTGTTTTCTGCCGCTTCAGTTAGAATTATCAGTTTGAGTTAAATCGAAATTGGTTTTGTTGAGTGGTGCTTATATGTCCGTAAGCCGAAATTATCTTTTCAGAGAGCTCTAATCAAAAACTTTGGGTTCGCTTTCAATTTTCTTAACCGTAACTATTACTCGGAGGATCATGGTCCTGACAAATTAGTTTTGTTGAATGGTGCTTATATACGTCGTCAAGTTCAAAGCGAAATCAAACTACCTGGCTGCCGGTGAGGATCTCTAGCTAATGGACTAGTTTTCAATGCGAAGTTTTTTGTACCTAAAAGAGATAGCTTTTTTCTCCTGTTTTCAAGTATTTTCGGTTTGTAGAGCCACATATACCAGACAAATGGATGAAATAATGATACCTCTCAGGACGCTTCAAGTGACTGTTCCAGAGTTCGCGTTATTTAAAGCAAGCATATTTTTTAATCCAGGTAGCAATAAATTATTCTTTTTTGTGACTTAAAGGAAATATTTTTTTATTTATTCTTATATTTGATTTTAATCAATACCACTTCTCATGTTATTCACTTGCAAATTCTAATGAAGGCTTTCTCAGATGCTTTGAATCTTTCTCGCCCTGCAAAACAGACTGTGTATGCGGAACGTTCTAAATACTTGGGCGCTTTGTTTTATTTGATGACTTCAAAACTTGGTATTACTGCCGGTGCACAAAAATATGGCAGTTTACTAATGATGGCGTCATCAGTTCAGGTGCGATTTTTTGATTCTTACTTTTAGGATTTCTGCTCGAATTTTCTAAATTTGATGAATTTTGGGTATGACTTCATTTTCTTTAAATTTGCTCGTTGTCTGCTGTTCCGTATGGGTCAAAGGAACTTTGATATTCAAGGTTTTTTTTACATATTTCTTGTGCTGCTAAGGTTGATCATTTTTATTTCACTTTTTGTTTTCAGAACATCATCGCATTAAACGAAGAAAATATGCAAGTGATGGATTTCTTTGAAGAGAACTGGAAAATGGATAGCTTTGTCAAGGAAGTTTGCTTGAAGGATCCCTAATTGCTTTTTAAAGGTAGATTTGTGATAGAAGGTGTATTAGTCAGAATTATAGTTATTTTTTCAATTTTGTAATTACCGTTGTTTATTGAAATTTTCGTGGCGGATTTGGCATCGCGTTTGTGCTTTGTACGTTTGGGTTTTTGGTTTTTTAGAAATCAATGTTTCATTTGTTATTATGTTTATGCTTCATTCTTGCAAGCGGGAAGAGTTTTATTGGACATAGGTCTTGCAAAGAAATGTTATTGCTACCAGGATTCATGTTATTGATTACAGGTATACTCGGGTTAATTGTTTTGTTCTTTTTGTCTTCACTTCAAGCCCACGATTTTTTATTTTTTTCATGCCTGAAACAACCCTGTGCCATATTGTTGTTTTTTGTGACACTTAGGCTCGATTTATAAAGTAAAAAACACAGTTTTCAAGACGATAAGACACTCGTTGGGACAGAGCAGTTGGATACTGTTTTATTTCACTTTGATCATAACTTGTTGTTGACACAAACGTGTTTACTCTTAGGTTTTTTAATTATATTTTGCGGAACGGTTGTATATACTTCAGCATCTTCTAACTTCCACTCTTTTCTTATAGTTCTGCAATTTACCAGTGGTTACTCCGTTTAAAGTTTTCGTTGTTTTTTGATGTTTTTATGGCACAGGATTACTGCTTAGTGTACAATAATTGTTTTTTTTTTAAAGGAAGTTTTTGTTTTGTTGTTTTATGAAGATTATTTCTAGTTGGATGCATAGTTCGTTAATTTCTGTATTTTTACTTCTTTCTTATCATGCTTTTCCTTGAAGATCTCCTCGTTTGAATTTTTTGACTCAGTAAGATAGTTGGCTTTCACGTACGGCAAAGAAAGCTTTGAAAATATATACTGAATGAGTAAGCAAGTTGCTAAGTGTAGGTGTATTGATATATGTAACGTGACACATAAAAAATGTTTTGTTTTTTTTGCTCTTGTTTCTTCTTTTCGTTTTTTTTTTCCTTCCTTTTTGTTGATTACCAATTTCTGGTTTATGTTGCTTTTACATTCCTAGATTTGTGGAAACTAGATTTTCTATAGATGGTGCTAATATAGAATTGACGCTGTCATAGTTGCCGGTTTATTGCATTGTAAATCAAGTAACTTTTTTCTCCGCTTCGAATACCACAGAATTTCTTATCTACGCCGTTGTTATTTGTTGAACAGGTTTTCAAGGTTCATTTTTGGTACAAAATGATACATATTATAAAATCAGCGGTGAAGAAAAAAGTACAAACGATAGCAGCAAACAGCTAACTGAGTTCAGGTGTTAGTGATTAATGAATGGTCAGGTTTTATGTGCTAGCAAACCTGAAGAGTGTGCTCCGTTTTTGTTCTACCGAAAACAAACATTGTCTAGGTTGTGCACTAGCAATACGTATAAGCGGATTGATGTAATTAGTTTTGGAACCAATATTTAGATGTGCTTTAAATGATTGTTCGCCAAAAGGTTTTATTGTTTTTTTTTT